CTGATAGAAGATTTTCCATCCATATAGTAACAATTTTGATATGCATACTTTAAATAGTGACAAAGTAATTTGCTGAATTCGTAAAACATTTAGCAATAATCTTTATTTTAGAGGATTCAATTTTGTCACATTTTTGAGGAAGATTAATATCTTCGTCAGAAGAAACCACTTTTTAACTGGGCAGAATAGCATATCGTAATTGAGGGGGCATCCATATAAATCTAGTTATAGAATATTTCTATATTTTCTATGGTGTACAATAGTATTAAGACAAATATTTATTATTCATTAAAAATAATATAAAACTAAATCATTTACATCAGAGCTAAATGTGTTATCGTCATCATCGTAATGAATATGTTTATCAAATTTTAAGGAATATATAATATTTATGATTTAGGCATAAATGATAAAAATTAAAGTAAATTTTAATCAATATTTTTTTTAAGTTTTATGGTAATATTCGGGTTTAGTTAAAATACCCATTTAACCAGTTCCGGATTTTCCTAACTTTTTAGTAGAGGGAGTATATGCTTATTAGAGATCCGGTCCGACCCGCCCCGAACACGGCCCTAAATATATTTAAAAAAATAATGTTCGTTTCGGGTTAGGAAGGGTCTACTATATATTTAATAATTTTGCCGGGCCGGGTCGATTAATTTTCAAGTATGAATACATTTTGTCAAATAAATTGATATATTTTAAAATTCTTGCAAGAAATAAGGGTCTAATATTTTTTTTATTTGCAGAATATTTTATTTACAATCAAAGAAAAAAAATTAAATTTTTTTAAAATATTTAAATAAATTTGGGCCGGGGAAGGGGCGGGCAAATAATTTTTATTTAGGGTTGCTTTTCGGGACAAATAGAAAAATATTTTTACGGGCCGGGCTTGAAAAATTAGACCCCATGCAGATAACTAATGCTTATGTATCATTTGTAATTGTTACAGGGTTTCCCATTCGAAAAAGGAAAAGTCCCAATCAAAAAAGGAAAAGTTCCAATCATAAAAGGAAAAGGTACGATCAAAAAAGGAAAAGGTCCAAACAAAGGAAAAGGTTCAATCAAAAAAGGAAAAAGTCCAAACAAAAAAGGAAAAGTGTCAATTAAAAAAGGAAAATTCCCAAAAAGAAAGGAATAAGTCCGATCAAAAAAGAAAAAGTGTCAAACAAAAAAGGAAAAGGTTCAATCAAAAAGGAAAAGTGTCAAACAAAAAAGGAAAAGTGTCAATCGAAAAAGGAAAATTCCCAAAAGAAAAGGAAAAGTGTCAAACAAAAAAGGAAAAGTGTCAATCAAAAAAGGAAAATTATAAATTTTTCAATTTTTCTTGAATTTTTATTTATTTTTGTCATTCCTTCTTATTTTATTTCTAACTTTTTGCGATTTCTTTACTTTATTTGTATCTTTTCTCAATTTATTTTTTTTACTATATTTTTTCTTCTCATTTTTGATTGTGTTTTTAAAAATAATTTATAAATTTAGGTCCATTTTTTAACAATTCTTTACGTTATTTTTTCATCATATATGCAATTAATTTAGCTATTAGCCGTTCTCTTACCAGGGCCCGAATACCAAACATCCTGGAGCCTACAAATTTATCGTTAGATGATGGCTTAAGACCTGATGGCTTAACTTCCGTGCCTTGGTCTTTAGGGAAATCCTTAATTTGGGACTTCACATGCGTATCTTCTTTCCCAAAAAATTTAAATTCTAATCCGGTTGATATAGCCGAGAAAAAAAAACAATGAAATATTCCAAATTCACAAATTATATTTTTACACCGATTGTTATCTCTTCCCTTGGACATATGCCAAGTGGAACTTTAAAGTTTTTAAAAAATATAGGGGATAAGATAAGAGCCCTTACATCAGAACCTAAAGAATTTTATTTCTTAAAACAAAACCTACAAATCATAATTTTAAAATATAATTAAGCATGTTTTTTGGGAACTTGTAGTCCCACCACGGTTTTTATATAATATAATATTTTTATTTTATTTTATTTTTGATGTGAGAAAACTATATATTGAATAAAAAAAAATAAAAAAAAAAAAATAAAAAAAAAAAATAAGAAGGAATGACAAAAATAAATAAAAATTTAAAAAAATTTCGATTTTCCTTTTTTGAATGGGAATTTTCGTTTTTTGATTGACACTTCCTTTTCTTTTGGGAATTTTCCTTTTTCGATTGACACTTTTCCTATTATCGGTTCCTTTTTTGTTTGATACTTTTCCTTTTTTGATTAATACCTTTTCCTTTTTTGATTTGACACTTTTCCTTTTTTGATCGGACTTTTTCCTTTCTTTTTGGGAATTTTCCTTTTTTGATTGACACTTTTCCTTTTTTGTTTGGACATTTTCCTTTTTTGATTGAACCTTTTACTTTTCCTTTTTTGATCGGATCTTTTCCTTTTATGATTGAAACTTTTCCTTTTTTGAATGGGAAACCCTGCAAATGAATCATTATTCTTCATTTAAATTTTCAACATTTCTTTGTTATGAATCTGAACCCAAAAATGCGCCTATCATACATTCAAAGCATATCTAGCTTTATTATTTATTGGTGCCCAAGGGAATTTTTTTTTAGATGGCTTAAATTTCTTAGTTATTGCGCCAATATTTTATAATTTATTCTCTCTATATTTAAATATAAATTTCTATAATTTTGTTACGAAAATAACATTAATTGAAGCCAAATCCATGCCATTAATTACTATTATAATAATTTATTTTATTCAAAAACATGAATTCCACAGCAAATATCAGATATTATTTTATGAACAAAAATTATTAAAAGTTTGAACTAATGATTTATTATAAATTGTAATTAACGATTTATCTATTAAGCTGGTTTTCAACTTCCATAAGAACTAGCAAACACATGTTTAGTATTTGGATATGGAAACCATTGAGATTCAGAATTTCTCGATTTTAAATCATTTCCTGAGGGAAGATTTAAATTTGTAAAATTTATTTGACCGGATATGTATTCCAACATGTATAGAAAATCTATTCTGTGAATTTTAGATGATTTTGTTTAGAAAACTCAATCAATATCTTCATGACGAAAATCTCCCAGAATCCAATATAATAAAAACAACCAATGAAGAAATATATATCTTCAAGTGAATGTATTTCTGATTCTGGGTATGATTTTTAAACCATTTTATCCTCTATTTTTTTAAATAATATGAATTCATTTCTATTTGAACTTTAATTGTTTATTTTATAATTGTATTATATTTATATAATATTTTGAGTGTTTAATTATTAATTTAGACTTAAATTCTTAGGAATTTTGCATTACTAGTGGGACTATCTTGGAGGAGCGCATGTGTTTGTGTGATCAGGTGAATGTTTGTTCAAGAGCGCAATAAATGTTGCATCGCGGTTAGGTGTATAAATATCATTTATTTGATAACTTAGCATATGACACAGAATTTGGATGTTCTAAATTTATGGCTAGAAAAGAAGATCTAACTTTCTAATCTTTCCACACTAGCCAAAAAACTTGTATTCCGGCAATAGCACATCTTATGAAATGTTTCTCATACATATTTTTTTCAATACCTATTTATTTTGTAGTGATGGTAATGGCTTCATTTGTACCCTAATTCAAAATCAAAATTTTCAGCCTCGGGGTTAAATTTACTTTACATGGCAGTCATATACATTTCATAATTCATAAAACCATTATACATGGAATACTATTTAATTATTGTCAATTTTTAAATATTATAGAATTTTACAAAAATTCCTCACCCCCCCCCCTCCCCCTATAGGAAATTTTTGGTTACGGGCTTGCGCGCACCACCGTCGTATACTATATATAGTAAAAATGTTAAATTATCATAAAAAACATATTTATATAGCTTAAATCGCCCCTAATAGTATTGAACTGGGTTTTTTACGATTCCGATCTTGAGCAAAATTATCTCAAGCGCTCCTTATGGATTAGGTGATTGCGTAAGTTCGTTGTTCCCACTTCCCACTTTCTCATTTTTTTTTCAGAGATTATAGCATTTTTTTTTATTTACAAAAATTAAATTAGCGAAAAATTAAATTTTGAAATGACAAAAATAAAATAAATATAATATGTGCAGAATAATTCATAAACTATTTTCGTTTATCCAATTGAAAAAAAAATTATTATTTCTAGACCGACGCCAATGTGTTATTTTTGATAAATTTTAAAAAAATTCCTTTATTGTAATGAATTTTTTATATTTAAGTGATGGATTAATAGATGCCAAATTTACAATATTATGCCCAATTTTATTTTAACTATCTTACACTGGGTATATGTGATAAATTGGCGGCCAAAATGGCATACATTTCACATAATTAATCATAGCTCTTAAAGTATTATGACTATGAGTAAAGAGCTAAATAGTTTTTTTATTTTGTAGATGAGGGATTTAGACTACATAAAAATATTCAAATTTTTATGGCTAAAAATGCAAAATACCAATCTTTCTACCCCCGTACGTATCGCTTACAGCATTCGTGGCCATGTTCACGCATAGGTTTCCCTGTAATATAATGTGATAATACCAAATTATATAGCTAGATTCAAGTGAATGTGTAGATACAAGAAAATAAATAACTTTTAAACTAGGTTAGCTAAGAACCCTGGATAATATAATTGTACGAATACCTCTTTTTTAAAAAAAGCTAATGTTTCAAAATAAGGAGAAAAGGTATTTATCATGGTGTGTAGAATTAGAAAGATTTTTACGATTTCTTTTAATATTTTGATTTTGATAATTTTGAAATTGTAATTCGTGGGGTCATCTTGGCAATATTATTTTTTTGAATTTTATTTTAAAATTTAAAAAAAATTTGCTTGAAGAGATGGCGACAGTGAACATGGTGAATTGTCGTTTTTTAAATTATTACTTTTCTCTTTTTTTTGAATTTTTTTTATAAAATTTTTCATTTTCGTTTCTTTTCGCATTTAAAAAAAATAAAATTTGTATATTAATTCATAAATTTAAAATAGACTAAATCCACGACCCAACGATGAAGGAAGGCATTTTATTAAAAAGAGGGACATTACTATTTTCCGAAGAACCTTACGTGGCAACCCTTTCGAATGCTTTTAGAAGCATTCACTGCTCTTATTGCTTGTAAGTATCCATTTATATAATCAATTTCTTCTAAAGTAAGTAAATGCGGATTATTATGGGTTCTGTTTTTAAAAAGACCCGATTGAGATTATAACCAAAATAACATTATGTAAGCCTAAAGATTTTATTCATATCTGGCAGAAATGCTTGGACATCTATTTGAGAAATCTTGTTGCTTACATGATAAGCATGCTAAAATCTTAATCGGGTTTTAAAAAAATCAACCCTAATTGGGCTTTTTATCAACAATTATGGTGAAAAATCTCCAAACTATATAAATTTGTGTTATTATCGTGGAAAAGATGGAGGGTATAGACAACTTTTTAGCAATCTACCTTTTTTATTTTTTTGGTTAACAGTTGACTCAAATATTAATATATTTCTTAAATTTCTCTAGAATTCGATTCCATACTTAATATTAACTCTAGAATATATTTTTAGTCTTTCCGGAAGTGTGAGATGGGTAGAATATGAATTAAATTTTTTCTAGAAATCTCTAGACTTTAAAAAGGATTTCTAAAAAAAAATAATCCTTTGGCAGTTTAACCTTTTCTAGCTTTTCAGTTAGCTATTTCCTATAAATCGTTTCGTTGGATTTCGAAATCCAGCTTGGAAATTCGAGCTATTAAATCCCGACATTTAATACATTTTAACAGACCCTTTATTAATTATGAAATATTTATTGAGCTTATACTTAACCCTTATCAAATTGGTTACGAATTTAATAATAGGCTTGGAATAAATATTTTATATTTAAAATAGTTTTCTTATTCATATATAAACGGTAAAAATGGGTGCAAATAAGGATTTAATAAAAAATTTGAGAATAATTCAAATTAATTTTGAAATGAAATGTTAATATTTTTTATATTTATAAGATTCTTAGAATTAGAATTATAAAATAAATATTAATTATATTTTTCGGGGGGAGAGGGTTAGTCTCTTAACCATCCTGTGGGCATATGCGAACAGGATATAGCATCAGCCTCCCAACTAAACAGTTAGCTATTACTGGCGATTTAAAATATTTTGTTTTAAAACCCTGGTATTTTTTTAAAAAAATTTTGCAGACCCGGCCCGTATATATTATAGAAAAAATTAAAATACGGGCCTGTGGGCCTGCAGGTCTAATATTAATTATTTAACGTTTATGGTTTCTTCTAGAAATAATTCAATTATTATATTTAAAATAAAAAAATAGCGCTAAAAACAAGCTTTCCAGATGCACTGCCTGTAAATTTCAACGATACTGTAATAAGGAATGCCAAGTAAATTGTTTTAATTTAGCTAAGTTTAATACTTAAAACATCATATTTAAAACAGAGATAATTTTGGGTTCAATATAAAAAAAAATATCCGAACAAGTTCAGAATTATGGATAGTTAAATAAGGACTACTTAAAAGCGAATTTTTATCGGGGTTTCCAACCCAGCACTCTTTTAAATAAAACTCTGTTTTGTCGACCAGGACATATCTTAGCATCTAAAAGAATAACCCAGGTGTTAAAATAAGAATATTGATTTTAGATGCCCATTCCTTAGCAAGACATTGCAACTTTTCGTTTAATAAAACTATTTTTACCTTGTGATGATTTCGTTTTTTTAATTGTACTTTTTTTGAATAATCTGATTGTATAGAATCGAATAATTATATTATTCTAATCATTGATTCGTTCGAATCGTATAATTTTTATCGAACCTCGACTCGTTAGATATAATATCTAAAATTAAATATCATTTGATAAAGTGTAAAAGTAGAATGTTTAAATAATGTTTTGGCAATTAAGTAAAAAAAAAATTAAAAGTTCTACAAGGAATATGTTCAATTAATTGATAATTTCTAACGTTTACAAATTAAAAATATTTTCAAAAATTCAATTCAATCGAATAATATATTATTGGGCAAATTTTATTTGCTATTATTTGTAGTTAATTATGTTTTTCCGCTATTCATAAAAATCGAATAACGTCTTAGATTAAATCTCATAAATTTATCCAGGATATCAAAATTGTTAAACGATACTTTTAAAAGTAGCGAGCTTCCGCTATCGCTATTTGTCAAAAAGACTAGCGCGCTATTAGCTATTATTTTTTAAAAGTAGCTTTAACTACCTACCCTAAGAATTTCAGATAATTATAAACATTTGAACTTAATATAATTTATATTAGGTTTTCCATAGATTTTTTATATAAATTATAAATGACTCAAAAGTTAAAGGTAAGATTATCTACAATTCATAAGATAGGTATTCTAAACATTCTGGCATACATTTCCGGTAAAATCAGATTTTAATTTTAAAAATGCGCTCAAAATATGATTAGAAGTTGAAAAAATAGCACATTACCGGAAAAAACACATTGCTGCTAATGGGGACTCTATATTAGGTTTTCCATAGATTTTTTATATAAATTATAAATGACTCAAAAGTTAAAGGTAAGATTATCTACAATTCATAAGATAGGTATTCTAAACATTCTGGCATACATTTCCGGTAAAATCAGATTTTAATTTTAAAAATGCGCTCAAAATATGATTAGAAGTTGAAAAAATAGCACATTACCGGAAAAAACACATTGCTGCTAATGAGGACTCTAAAGGGATTAAGGATCATAAAGACAAATTTTTTCAAGAAAAAACTGATTGAAATTGTAAATAATGAGGAAAATATTTAAGATATATTATTGATCCAAATACATTAATAATAATACCAATCAATTAACATGTCTAAAATTTGATCAAAACTATTTCTTAATTCTTAAAATTTAAAAAGTGATCAAAACTATTTCTTAATTCTTAAAATTTAAAAAGTGATTTTGTAGAATATGGAAATATAAATACTTATAAATAATTCTAAATATTTGTTGTTTTAAATAATTTAGAATATTTACGATAAATTTTGAATTATAGGAATAATTTCAAAATTCGACAAATGATATATTTTTTTTATTCAATTTTTGAATCGAATAATTTTGTTATTTGAATTCGTAAAATACTAATTAAATCGAATATTGAATAATTCGTTTTAGGTTATAGATAGCATAAAGTTCCGTAATCTAATTAGCGACTATGTATTATTTTTCTGGAGTTAAATATCTTTATAACCCCCTTCTTTGCTAATTAAATTTATTCTAGACATTTTTATATTACTTAAATTAATTATTATAAATTTATTATACAGCACACTAAATGAAAGCAATTACGATAACTAAATCTGATTATATTTACTAATTTTATCTCTATTTTACAGGCAAAAGATTGGGTAGATCATAAAGATGAATGTAAAATATTTAGAAAAATACCTTTGGAAGATCGTCTCCAATTTGATTACCAAATCCATCTCATTATTCGCATAATTTTCAAACTTGAAGTAAACATTACGATAATTTCTTTAAATAAAAAAAACCAGGAGCGTGAGATCCCTCCTTCTAAAAAAATGGGTTAGGTTTTGGGTTCAATAATAAATCTCTGAATTAGGTTCGGTTTTAGCAGGGTTTGGTGTCCATAAAAATTATAACTTGTAAAATGTAGTTAAAATAACAGAAACATAATTGATTTTTTAATTTCAATATATTTTAAAATATTTATCTTTTTTTTTTTATTATATATCATATTTTACATGTTATTTTTTTAAATATTATTTATATTTATTTTAATAATTTTGAGAAAAAAGTATTTAGAAGATTCAATAAAAAAAAAATAACTAAATAAAAAATTTTTAAAAAAAATTATAGAACCCTTAATCCGATTTAGTTAAATATCAGGATTCCAAGCGCTCTAATTGAGGATTCGAGTTAATGGCCCTGTATAAACTTGCCCCTCCCCAAGTTTTAAAATATTGATAAATTTATTACCATGGCTTGATGCTGGCATTAGTATTGTTAAAAAACGCGATTCGGGTCGATTTTAAAAGAGGCTTTATTAAGATTATAACCAAGATAATATTATGTAAATCTAAAGATTTTACTAATAGCTGGTAAAAATGCTTGGACATCTATTTGCCAAACCTCGATGCTTACATATTATTATTTTAGCTAAAATCATAATCGGGCCGTTTTGAAATCGACCCAAATCGGACTTTTTAACAACACTATTTGGCATGGGCTTTGTTTCTTCTAAATTCGCACATTTGAATTTGTTTAAAGAGACAATTTTTTTTCATTTGCTAAATTTTACTATAAAAACATATTTTTTTCATGAAAAGATTTTGATTCCTGTATACTCTTCAAAAATTAATGAATTATGTATTTTTTTTTAAAAAAACGTTTTATTTAAAGCGCCAATCAACTAAGAATTATAACCCCGAAAATTTGATATCTCATTGCAATGGAAAAATTAAATTGGCGAAACACAAATTTATGGATTTAAAGGAACATTCATTTGAGAAAATGTTTAGACATCTTGTTTTTACCAAAGCTTTATTTCTCGAGAAAATACTTAATAGAATGAAAAAATTATTGCCTGAGATAATATGGAATAAATATGAACAAATCTTACCCCATATATACAACAAAGTAGGTTCAATTAAGTATTAATTTTTATTTTAAAAAAAACATTTACTGTAGTTATTAATAGGAATAAATATTTTAAAAAATCTACTGATCTAAAACATAAAATAATAAAATGGTTCACCACATTTAATATGAAAAATAGTGGCATGATTTTATACAGGATAATCCTAATCTTCTAATTAAGGTAGGACCCTATTTTCAATCGCCAACAAAACTTTGGAAATCAAAGCATGCCAAATAATCAAGGGCCTTCGGTGGGCTGCGCGAGGTTTATAAATCTAGTCGGCGGCCTCCAAACACTCATAGATATTTTTAAATAGCTAATTAATTTTTTTTTATTTTAAAAATCTAAGCTAAATAAAATAAAATATGTATACTAAATATATCACCATATTTTTGGATCCATATTGTAAAAAAAAAACTAATATTACTAATTCAAACTCAGCTAATTTTAAAGTAATCATGTATAAAAATAATTTTATTTAAATTAGCCTAGGCATAAGGATAACTTCATTAGATATGCTAGTTGGCAGAACACCTAATTTATTTTTTGCTAGGGCGAAAAAATTCAGAAATTCGATTCAAAAATTAAAGTATACATTCTATATATGGCATATTCCGGGAAGAACTTGGCGTTCTTGTTAAAAGTTCCGTATACTGAAAGATAATTTGTTTTTATTTGTAGAATATTTATTTGCTAACCTTGTCAAATAATTTGTATTTGATACTTCCTCATAATCTTCAATCTCTATATTTACTATTTAAAAGTTTAAGATATTTTAATAAATTTTTGACCATGCATTTTTGCTCTATTCTATATTTTTACACCATTTCTAATTTTTGAAATCTTTAGTCTAAAAGAGAAACCAACAAACACCTAGATATTTTTTTTAAATAAATAAATTAAACTACAATTTATGTAATATTACTTGCAGATTTCAAACAATAAATTAAGTTTATTTAAAACATATTTTCCTTAGGTGAAAATTAATTTCCCAGCTATCATCATCATTTACCTTTAAATGAGTTTCTATTTTACTTCTCTGCCATGTAGGCTTATTTTGTGCACTATACAATTACATTTTTTGAAAAAATTAGGCTATGGCCATGCACTCAGCTGTATTATTATATTTTATGTTCATTTATCGGCCCTCATTAATCTAATCAAAAAGATTATTTGGGTAAATTTTTTAATTTTATTAAAAATATCGTATTAATGGGTGAAGCTTCATTCAAAAGGCTAAAATATTCGCATAGAACACCCGAGGAAATACCAGTAGTTTAAAAAAAATTCCTTCCCATCTCGGCCAATATTTTTTTTGACTTATGATTATTTCATGGCTTGACACTATTTTAAAATGTCTATTTTCTAAAAATATGCATCCATTTTACAAAATGTGCCTTTTCAATAATAAAGATTAAATTTAAAAAGAACTAACCCAATTTTAAATTTAATTTGTACCAACGATTTTTTATGAATGAGACTATTTTATGTGCGGGTATTGTGTATGGAACTGCGAGTCTATTTGAACGGTATAATTATTCTTCCAAAAAAATGTATTCATAACAGCAGTCTTATTTATGTGCATTTATTTAATTCTTAGATCTTGATTAATTCATTTGATATAAAGGACGAACACCATAAAGATATAGGCCATGGAATTTTTATCAAGTATATATTCAAATTTCAAATATAGTAATTATATTTATTTGACATTATGATTATTAAATGATGAGAAATCTGAAAGAAATAATTCCCCTTAGATTTAGAACTTAGAATTTTAATTTTTCATAAGAATGATAGTCAAAACGCTCCGATCGAAGCACTTTGAGGTAATCAAATATTGCTTTTCTAGACCAGAAAAGTTTGAATACATATCAGTTAGCGACTCGACATTTTAGTTCTTCATTGAATTTTTTTTAAAGTTTTAATAAAATATCAATATAATGTATTTATATTGGCAAAATAACGTGACATCAGCTTATTTGCATTCGAGTAAATCAAATGTCAGTCGAGATAATTTATATAACATTGCTTAAATCTCAGCTGAATTTCGCAAAAAATCTTCTGAGGTGAAAATACACCTTACTATTATAGGGCTATTCAATGCTGAACCGAATGCTAAAAGTTATTTGAGATTAAAGGGACTAGCAGGAAAATGACAGTCTTTATAGAAAGCAGCTATTTAATATTTTTAATTTATATGTAAGTAATCTTTAATATAAATCGGTTCGACTTAATTATTAATTTAAGTTCTCACCTAAAATACTACTTCTTAAGATATGTTTCACTTTCTTTAAAAATTATATATTTCTAAAAATATTTAGTTATTCAAAAATTGATCATTCCTGTATCCCAAACGGAATTTGTATATCTAACGGTAGGACCCAACACTTAGTTTTGATAGAAGACCTTTACTTACTCAATGCAAATGACTTAGAAAAATATGTAATAGAAATATGAATAAATATAACATTTAACATTGATAAAATTAAATAATATTGCGATTCCTTTTTAATAAAAAAAGAATATTTTTCTTATTATATATTTTTTTATGGGGTAAAAACAAAAAATGTAATAAATGAATAAATCCATTACATATTACTCCAGGGAATCACACTTGTTTCTTTTAACGGTTAGTGGAATGGTATGAGTGTTATTCTATTTCATTTTGGGTTATCTGTTAAAATTAAAAGTGTCGACCAATTTCATCCAAGAATTGATATCATTGCATTTATGATATAGACTAACCTTGGCACGCATCAGGGGGTTTATATCCTTAGAGTTAGTCATGATATTAAATATAATAAGAAAGGGCTATAGCTGGGTTTTGGCTAATTCGGCTCAATCTTCAGCTACTTGCTGGACCGTTAAAATTAAGAAGTTTTAATTTTTATTAGTTTCTTCCAAACTTGAGGTGCTATCCTTTCAAAAAAAGGCTAAAAATTGGCTTGAAAGATCTAAAAATATAGTAATTACCCAAGTATAAAAGACTAACGTTAGATAACATAGCTTTATTTCGAGTCCCCTTATTAAAAACAATTTACCCTTTCTAACCTAAGAATCTAATTTAAATAGAGTCTTTATTTTAAGGGAATATCCAGTGTCACTTAACGAAAAATTTATTCCAAGTTATGATTAAAAGGTTTGCAGTTTGACGAAAAAAAATTTAGCATGACTTATAAAATCGAGAATTGATGATTTTGCAAATTTTTTTTTAAGAAATATTTTGGATATAATGCTACCTACATTTATTTTTTTCATAGCAAATGATTCTATTTGACAAAACATAATATTCCATTATACATCACTATTAAATATGCTTCTATTTTAACCCTAAATAAACAAGGTAAATGACTTGCAATTTTTCACCCATTAATACACTTTAAAAAATAAATAAGGTGTATCGGGAGACTAAGTTAAATAGATTATTACTATTTTAATATAAATTGTATATTTTAAAAAATATAAATGTTAATAAGGTACATATTTCCTACATGAACCCGGTATCTTCAACTTTTGATAGGCAGGAGTTCTTCAGAATTAATTCGCATTTTAGTTGTGATTGCTCATTGTGTTATCTAGATAAGACTCAAGGTCGATCATCGAAAAGCATGGAAGACGAATATAAGATAGATATAATGGATGGTTATTTTTTTTTATTTTGGGCATTTAAAAAATTGATAAGAATATATTTCATTTAGTTGATTATTTAACTACTAGTTGGTTACCCCGTCATAGTTACAGAAATTGTAATTGTTTATGTGTAAATCACAAGTGGGAATGTATCTTAAACCCATTTTTCTATATTATATTTATATAAATAACAGTTCTTTCCTTATGTCTAATCAATTTAGGGGAGATAAAACTGCAGTTAAGTCAAATTTAATATAGAATATGTATTTTTTATTCTCTATTCCTTTACGTCCTCTTATGTTACCCGAGAAGCGAAAATTTTATCTATAAATTTGTTTTAATTGCGACGAGTAGAATGCAAGATTTCATAGGGTTGACTAGATTTCTTTTAACATCTTAGTCCATATAGTCAACATTTAATTATATCGAGATGTATTTGCTTATAATTGTGAAAATTATTATAAAAAACTCTACCAGTTCAACGCTATTTAATAACTCACACAATTTACCAACCCAACTCTAAAACTAAAATTAATAAATTTTAAATAATAATGACAATAATTATTTACGATTCAAATTTTAATTCTAAATTTCCTCTGTTTCGACATAATTTGATATTGCAAGATAAAGAGATGATTTATTTTTAAACATTGCGATGCTAGAAAAAAAATGAAATAATTAATCTCAATTTTTAAAACGATTATTCTTTTTAATATATATGTTTAGTTTGACAGTTTTTGAACAAAACAATATACTCTCTGTTTAAAAATAATATGTAGTCAAAATTGAAAATATAATTTTGCATATTCTCTTATAATCTTGTCAAGAAGGTCAGATAATATTCGCTGATATAAAAATATCTCGAGAAAATTTAAGATATGTATAATATAATTTTATTTTTCCTTATATTTCAAAGTTACTTCAAAAAATCTTTTTACCCTCTAACCCAGGCACGTAAGCAGGAATTTAATGTGTGGGGAGGGGGGATAATTAAAATTTTTTAAAAAAAATTATTATTTAAAAATATCAAGCGTAAATTTTTTAGGACTAACAACTATTTCTAATACAAAATTTTAAATTAATCTGAATTATAAAAAATTAAATATATAAACCAACATATAAAAAACTATAAAATAAAAGTATATTAAAAAAATATTAAGTTGATATACAGCATATAAATCACTATAAAATAAATGACCCAAAATAGAAATTTAAATTATTTGAGCCAAATTAGTATAAAAAATTTAAATGTTGAAAATATAAATTATTACACAAGTTTCTTAGGAATAATTGTATTTTGTATGTAATAACTTAAAAGGTATTCATGAAAAAATATATAACACATTAAAAAAAATAAATCTCTTAGAAATATTATTAAGAAGCATATTATAAATTTATAAAGTAAAATCTAATCTTCGTTGAGATTGGGTTAATTTTTCAATTATCTTCTCCATGATTGGCGTCAAATGCCTATGAATATTCAAAAGGGCCAAACTATTCAATATACTGTCAGATGTTGTACTTCTTAAGTATGTTTTTATTCTTTAAAGAATGTTCTTTCATTAGTTGCAGTACTAATGTGAAGATGTTAAAATAATGCAAAGCATCCATAGTATTTTTTAAGTATCATAGTTAATCTTTTAAACATAGTTATTCAGCTAATAAAACATAAGATACTTTAACATCATTATGATAAAAATCTAACAAATATTTTTTTTCTATCACCATTTGAAAAAAGTTGGAAAGGCTTTTGTGTAAGTAATATCTGCAGATTGCTAATTGCTGCCTGATGAACTAAAAACCGTTCATTTATTTGGGTGATAAATGTATCTAAGAGAGGGATAAAGACATTTATTTTATAATACTCTTCTACTGACATTATATTAATGTTAGGAAGATGAGCCTGCCCCCAAGACAAATGTTAAACTCGTATAGCTCTTTTGACTCAAAAATACAGAAAATATAAAACTTTTCAACAACATTAGCCCTAATTTCCCTGAGTTCTAATAAAATGCTCTTCGCTATTCTCATCGTTTCAAACAAGTCAATGTATTGTTTTTGGAAATAGATAAATTAGTTGTATAATATACATTCTAATGAGAATAAAAAGTATAAGCATTGAATCCAATGATTTGTTTGCTTCTGAGGAAATATCTCCTACAGGCAATTGTGATATTTCAGTAAGAGCATTAATAATAGACTCTTCTAACTCTATAAAAGCTGTTATTGCTTGATGGCGAAAACTCCATCTCGTTGGACAAGCTTTTTACAATTTCTTTCTCCTAGTTAAACAAGGAGTTTTAGAAATAATTCTGTTTACCCCTAATGCTTTAATTTACAAGACCACGAAAATTACCTTCATTATCATTATTATTGAAAGTCAAGCTTCCTGAATCCAAATGGTCACGTAATTCTAGACCCTGTAATTACAATATAGAATTGCCTCAATAGTTAGTTTGATCTTACATCTATTTTCTTTTGATATTTTAATCCTATTTTTGCCAATATGTGATGAAATGGGGATCACATCCCCACTTTGAATTAATTTAAAGAAATAATCAGTTCACAGCGTTTGTGATAATTTATTTTTTGAGTCAAAGATTTCTCCAGCATCTTTGTACTTGTTGTTAACTAACAGGACTCATATCCTGCAATAAATTCCATTGTCTCCAATAGAGAATTCTAGTCATAACCATCTAGTAAAATAGCTGTTTTAAAATTTTAACTTTCAATTAGAACATAAAGTCTGTGGATATTGAAATTTGATGGGTGGAATATAAAATTATTATTAAATAAAATATTTATCATAGGTATCTTTAATACCTCTTAAGAAGTATTTGTCATACTTCTAAGCTAATTAAAAAATGTTATAAAATTATTTGTATATTTTGCTTTTTGTAAGATGACTAGGATTTTCAACATCATCAATATGTTTAAAAACATTTTTTATGTCCATAATTATTATTTGACTAGAAATTTAAAAATATTAGATAAATATTAACCAAGGAAAACTTAAATCGAAATTAATTGATAAAATAACTTAGTAAAAGAAGTGTTAAATAAATGTAAGTAAATATATACTTAAAAAGTAAAAAGAAAGAGAATGTTATAAAAGTCAGGCGCGTATGCAGGAATTTGGTCTGGGGAGGGATAATAAAATTTTTAAGAAATATTATTGTTTTTTAAAAATATCAAGCATAAATTTATTAGGAAAAATATACAATTTCTAATACACAATTTTAAATTTATGTGAATTATAAAAAAATTATATGTAAAGAATCACTTAAATGACCCAAAATAGAAATTTGAATTTTTTAACCTTTACACAAAATGTTTCTTAGGAATAATTGCATTTTATATGTTATATATTTACAATGTAAATCCAATCTTCGTTGTGATTGAGCTAATTTTTCAATTATCTCATCCTTGCTTGTCGTCAAATGCCTATGAATATTCAAAAGATCCAAACCTTTCAATTTACTTTCAGATGTTGTACTTCTTGGTATGTTTTTCAGAGACCTGCAGGCCCGGCCCCTGGGCTGGACAGTATTTTAATATTTTTAAATATACCCGGGCCGGGCCCGAAATTTTTTAAAAAAACACCGGAACCGGGCCTGAAAATTTTATTTTAAAAAAGCCGGGCCGGGTCTGAAATTTTTTTAAAAAAAGCCGAGTCGGGCCTAAAAAATTTTTAAAAAAAGCTGCGGCCGGGCCTGAAAATTTTTCAAAAAAAATGCAGGCCGGGCTGTAAAAAATCTTTAAAAAAATCCGGGCCGTGTCCTGCAAATGGTACTTCTGCAGGCCTCTGTTATTCTTCTTAAAAAAGAGAATGTTCAATCATTAGTTTACTAATGGGAAGAGTTTATAAACCCTTTTAATACATTGGGAATTCAATCTAAAATGTGTTTGAAATAATGCAGAGCATCCATAGCATTTTTGGGACTATATCAACCATTGTTAATCTTATAAACATAGTTATTCAGTAAGACATCATACATAAGATACTTTAACATCTTCATAATAAAAATCTAACAAATTTTTTTTTTCTATCACCATCTGAAAAAGGTTGGGAAGGCTTCTGTGGAAGTAATATTTGCAGATTAGTAAGTGCTGCATGATGAATTAAAAATTCATTTATTTGGGTTATAAATGTATCTGTATTAAAAATATACACTTATCCTATATTAATGTTTTAACGATGAGCTTGCCTTGCTACAAGTCGGGAGACAAATATTAAACACGTATAGCTCTGCTTTTGACTCAAAAATAAAATATGAAATTCTTCATTAACATTAGCCCTAATTTCCTTGAATTCTGATACAATGCTCTCCGCTATTCTCATCTTCTTAATCAAGTCAATGTCATGCTTTTGAAAAGTAATACTTAAAAAAGTGTATAATTAAATAATATATTCTAATGAGAAATAAAATTTGGAATAAGCATTGAATCCAATAATTTTCTTGCTTCTGAAGAAATATTTCTTTCAAGCCATTGTGATATTTTAGTAATAGCAAATAATTGGCTCTTCTAACTCCTTAAAAGCTGTTACTACTTGATGGCAGAGACTCTATCTTGTTGGACAAGGTTGCAATTTCTTTTTCCCTGTTGCACAAGAAGTTTCAGAAATTATAATTATTTTACTAGAAATTTGAAAATGGTAGATAAATATTACGCCACTAAAAATTTGAAAATAATAAGTAAATATTACGCCGGAAAATTTGAAATCGAAATTAATTGATAAAATAACTTAGTAGATAAATGTAATAATAAATGTAATTAATGAAATATTTAATATGAGATACGAATAAATATTAACAAATATGAATAAATATTAACAAATATAAATTAATATAAACAATAATATTTTTGAAAAATATATCCGGCATCTGCATTTTTTGACTTTGGGGGGAGATTTGTCCCCCTGCCCCCCCCCGCTGCGTACGCTCCTGCTCTAACCCTTTTATTATAATGATGAAATGTTTTCAATACAGATATTGTGTCAACCCCTCCCGCTAGTTCTACTAAAAAATGGCTAGGCAAAAATATATTTAAGCGCAATTAAAAAAATTTATAATTATTGGATTTCAAAATATCACTGAGATATAATTATTATATTACTTAGAGATATATTAATATTATTTTGGTTAAATTTATCAGTATCATAACAACCTTTAATATAATCATTAAAATATGGACATTTCGAAGGTTTTCTTAACGTTAGCAAATTTTCCTAAAATTTAACATTATTCAAGATTCTTTTTATAACTGAACCAAGTTTTAATTACCTCAAAATAATTTTTATAAAAATTAGGATATCTATCAAATTATGACTTCAAAGAATCTAGTTTGGATCTCGAACTAGTAGAGATATTCCAAGAGAAATATTTTTACCAATCACTAAATGAAATGGAGGATTTTATACAGGGTCAGACATTAAATACTATATCATTTCCAGCTTCTGCAAATATAGTTTACAATAAAATGTTGTCGGTTCTCATATTGATTAATATGACTTGTGCCCATATGTTTATCAAAAGACGTGACCGCATAGCAATGATCAACTTCAAAAAAACGTATGAACTGTGCAGAGCATTCGAAACTGGATATATCTTAAAGTTTGTGTTTAGAATGTCATGTCATATTTGATGTACATAAACATTTTAAAAGAGATATAAATATTAGAGATCTGCAAAGTTAGGCCCAGCCCGTGCCCGGGCCGGGTTATATTTAAAATAATCGGGACCGGGCCGGGCCTAATATTTTTTTAAATAAATCGGGCCGGGTCGGATCTTGGAAATTTTTTAAAATATATCTAAATTTATCAATTTTATATTGAATTTTTTATGTAAAATAAAAATTTTGATTTTATTTATTGAAACTAAACGCCATATTACGTATGTCTTTTATTTTGAGTAATTATAAAAATTAATTTCTATATTTAAATAAAATCAAGCGGGCTCGGGCCGGCAAAATTTTTTTAAAAAATTTCCGGCCGGGCTTAAAATATTAGGCCCGATGCTGATCACTAATAAATATTTTATAAAAAAGAAATCAGCACAAATGTTATAGCTGATGAATTTTAATATACTTTCCTATTCCTGAAAAGTAAGGCTAATTAAAATTATTTTGTGTCTGCGTAATATTTTACAATAATCTGTAAGTTATGCACTATACCATGTAGCTTTTATATTATTTAAATGATTTGAAAGATATTCTTGTTAAGAGAAAGTGCGAAGAGTAGTTTGTAAAATAATTCCCTTATAACTAGTTTACAGTTTTATAACATTTTTTTTTAAAAATACTTTAGTACACTATATTTATTTCTATTTTTAATTAAATATATTTTACAATTTTTTATATATACATTAAATTTAGGAAAAATTATGGTAAATACGAGGTCTTTGTAGCTATACATTGGTATAATATGGCCTTATTATCGAAAGTGTTGAATTACAAGTCGGACTACATAACTTACAAAAATAAAGTATAATTATAAAAATTCTCCTATACAAATACTGCAGGTTTTCTAACCTCATAAAGTTTACATCTTAAGCTTATTCTTTTCATGTTCAATATTTTTTTAAATTAAATGATTTTCTTTAACAATAATGAATTTCGTCACGTGACATTCTAATTTTATGTGATTATATGGCATTCACTCCAAGATTAATGAAAATATCTAACCAATAGCAATGACTAAACACTCTTTGATAGGACAACATTAAAATCTACAGATATATTTTATTCTAAAAATACGAATTTTCCCTTTATTATGGTCTAATTACTGTATATTTATCTAATTAAAAAAACTATTTTAAATTAAATTTTGGAGTTTATGTATATCAGGTGGGATTAAACTGATTCTATTGAAATTTATATATTTTCTAAAAAAAATACATATTTAAGCCTCTTCATAAGAAATTTTTACCAATCAAATTATTTTTTATTTTAGCAGTTAAAATATTTATTTTAAAAAATATATTAAAAATAAAATTCTTATAGATCAATTTATTTCTAAAACTATAATTATGGACCTAAAAAATATAGTGATTTAACTCTAATTCTCTTTTTTTAGCAGTTAAAATATTTGAAAATTATATTTAAATATAAAAAACATAAATTAAAAAAAAGCATATAAGGCGGGATTTTTTTTTAAACAAAAAGCAAAAGAAAGCTCTTCATGAGATCAGAAGTAACAAAGATAGTTCCTAAGAAATTTAAAGCGATTATAAAATTTTTTGCCTAAAATCTTAAAAAATGATAGCCTACGGAGTGAAGTTACTAAAATAATAAATCCGAAAGGCCGTGGTACTTACTAATTTTACCTTCCTTTAGGCTCTAATAATCGGGTTAATGTTTGGATTAGAGGAGAATTGGGAGACAGGTGAATTCCCAAATATAATGGTTTCCTCTAAACCAAGCAATATTTGTAAAGCCATTGAGATTTTTTCTCATTAGACATAACAATTAAATGGGTTACAGGAGTTTTGGGTAGTTAGCTAGCTCTGTTGACTTAACCTCTCTTTAAAATATAAAAAAGACCATATGCTATTAGGTTTGGACTCTTTCTCGCACCCTTTACATTTATGAGGTAGACATAGGCCTCAGCCTAATCTTTACCCTATGATTAACCTCACCTCATCTTATAGCAGAAGACCAAGATTGACACGGGAAAAACAAGCCATTTATGGCCCAAGTTTTGTTTGCAGTATTTGAAGATATGAGGGTAAACAATAAGGGATTTATTCCCATTAAATTCTAAAAATTAGCAAGGTTAATAACATCTCTTTAAGCTATGGACTCCGGAAAAGATAAAAGATAAATTTTTCCTCCATAAGTCATAAGGCATTTAAATAGACTATTTCTACCTCTCACATCCTTACAAAAACCTCTTTGCATTGAAGGTGAGAAAAAAGGACACTATCATTTTCGGTTAAAAGTTGATTGCGCCAAATTTGTACCAAGACCAGATGTCAAAAATATTACATATGTTGAAGTGCCACTTTATATCCCAGGAAAGTCAGCCAAGTACCTATAAACCTAATTTGTGGGGAGATATGGAAACATTTCGTGTGGTGTTTAAAGAATTATAAATATTTTAAAAAAACTTCTTGAACACTAAACATAATTTTAAAAAAATATGGTTCGGCTTCAGTAGAGTTTTAAGGGTTAGATAGTTTGATCAGACCCTACAAAACCACCCAAAAGAAAATCTAGGACAGAACCTGCAACCTCTCCTAAAATTTCCATGAATCGTAACCTTATTTATATACAATGCTGTTTATTGTAGAATTCATTAATTAACAGTTTGGATCTAACCATTGAATCTTCCGGGTCAAATTTAAGGAACCAAAACCCTTTTAATTTTGCAACCGGAAATCAGCTCTACATTAATTTTTCTCGCAAAAGATCAAAAAATAGGATTTTTTAAATGAGTAGGCTGGATATTTTTATTATGCGAAATCTTTTATAAGTGTCTTGAACAAAAAAAGATAAATTAATTTATGAATCATCGCGGCCGAGGATTATAGAGTTTCTATATCTTTCAACTATTACAGAAAAACTTTTTTTAAAAAAATTTACCTATTAAATTTGCATTATGGAAAGAGATTATAAAAAATAAACGTAGATCTAAATAATATAATTTAACTAGAAAATCTATTTCTATACTTTTTTAAAAGTGATGATAGAAAATTGTAATAAATTAAAGTATAAAGTTCATCTCTAAATTTTTTTTAATCTTTATTAACATAAAATCACAATTTTTTAAAAATATAATGTAAGTATTTAATATTTTAAATTATTTTTTTAATCAGATGCGGATAATATTATCAGCACTCATGGACATCATTAGTCTTTACAATCTGAAGGGGCTCAAAACAATTTTTTTAATAATAAATTTTATTAGCTAACATTTTCAAAATATAATTTTTTTTAGTTAAAATTTTCAAAATTTAATTTTTTTTAGCTAGCATTTTCAAAATTTAATTTTTTTTAGTTAAAATTTTCAAAATATAATTTTTTTTTGTCTAACATCAAAATTAATTTTTTCTTATCTAAACATTTTCAAAATATAATTTTTAGCTAACATTTTTCAAAATTATTTTTATCCATTCAAAATTTAATTTTTTTAGTTAAAATTTTCAAAAATTAGTTTTTTTTAGCTTAACATTTACAAAATTATTTTTTTTTAGCTAACATTTTCAAAATTTTTTAGCTTAACAATTACAAAGTTTTTTATTTCTACTTGAACCAGAACCTTTTTCATTCAAATCCTTAATTTGTTTTTTAGAAAAGTCTAAAAATTATTAGTACATTTGAAAATTTTATATACCATTTTTTTCTTTATTTTTATCAAAGTGTTTAGAGATTTTGGATGCCGCTTATCCTTTGACTCAGTTAAATGAACCTAAGATCAATAGATCTATAATTGGTCTTATGAGGAAATTTTGCTCTACCTGACAATGCCATGATAAATAATATTAAAAAATTTAATCATTTTTTATTAATATATAATTATTAAATAATATTTTATATTTTTATTTGTAAAAATGTCTTGATGATGTTAATATTTGTATCAAATTTCTCTTATAAGTTTTATTATATAATAAATAATTTTATTCAATTTTTGTTGTTGCTTATGTAGTGTTATATAACGATCCAATTTGTGTCGATTTAGAAAGGCCTATTAAGACTTTACCCAAAGTAATATCATAGCCTCGCGATTGAGTAAATTGAGTTTAAGTATTATATGTTATTTATTTTTAAAAGAATTATGTATAGTTAATAAAGATTATAATTTCTAATAATGGTGAATGGAAGGGGAGTCGGAGGGCGTTTGTATTTTCCCCTTATCTATTTTATTTTACATTTTTCTTTAAAGCCACTATTTGAATGCTTTGTGTCTAAAAAAATTTATCTGGTTTTTTTTAAACACTTTTTTAAATTTGTTTTCTTTGTTGGAGATCAGTTTTTGTCCTAAATATATAAGCATAGCTCTTTTCTTAGTATTTATAAAATCCTTATTGATGTAGACAAAATAAATACTCATAAATCTTTCATAAATTATAAAAGCGGAAAACTTTGTTATAAATCTTTATATATAAATGACTATATAATTTTAAAATTAAAATTTTATCATGTAATAATTTTAATTATTTCAAGAATTTTTTGCCTAGATTCATAATAATAAAAGCTGTTAGGATAAAATTTATATAGTAAGGGTCAATATCGGAAAGTAGGGATAGGATCTAAATGGACGACATCTGAAGGTCTAAGATCAGATGGGGTAGGATCGGAAAGAGTTGGATCAAATAAGCTAGGATCGGAAAGGAAGGTATGGGAAAAGCTGGAAGCAGAAGGGAAGGGGAGATAACGGAATGGAGAGGATCGAAAGAGATGATCATATCGTTATCTCATTTTATCCTATATTATCATACCTTATCTTAGCCTATATTATATCTTTTCTTACTTTCTTTTTTTTCCCTTTTTTTCTCTTTTCCTAATTTTCTCTTCATCTATTCTACTTCTTTTTAAAATATTCTGCTCTTTATTAACACTGTAAGAAAGGTTAAGAAAAGTACTGGACTAGATAAGTCGGGAATAGACGTGATGGAACAAGAAGGGCTAAGAATGGGAGGGGTAGATAATTAAGGTATTAAGAGTAAGTGAAAGGATAGAAATGGGAATAAATCCGTAGGGACAGGATCGGAACGGTCAATATAGGAAAGTAAGGATAGGAGGGATAGGAAGCAACAGGATCAAGGAACGGGTTCTGAAGGTCCAGGATCCTATGGGGTAAGATCGGAAATAGTTGGATCAAAAGCAGGGATCGAAAGAAAATATATGGGAAAAGCTGGGAGCAGAAGGGAAGGGGAGGTAACGGAATGAAGAGGATCGAAAGAGATGATCATATCTTTATCTCATCTTATCATAACTTATCTTACATTATCATATCTTTTCTACTTTTTTTTTTCTTACTTTTGTTTCTTTTTTTTTAAATTATTTTCTCTTATCTCTTTTCCTATTTTTCTTTTCATCTATTCTACTTCTTTTTATAAAAATTTTTATACCTTATATTTTATTCACATGTAAGAAGGGTTAAGGAAGGTACTGGACTAGATAAGACGAGAATAGACGTGATGGAACGGGAAGGGCAAAGAATGGGAGGGGTGGATAATTAAGGTATCAAGAGTGTGTAGATCAGAAGGATAGAAATGGGGAAAAACGGGATCGGAAGACAATATCGGAATGTAGCAATAGGAAGCAACGGGATCGTAAGGGACACGATATGAAAGTCCGGGATTAGATGGGATAATATTGGAAGGGTTGGGTCGGATAATCAGGGATCTGAAGGGAAGGCATTGGAAAAGCAAGGATCAGAAGGGAAGGGGAAATAATCGGAATCGAGAGGATCGAAGACGATCTTTTCTTATCCTTACTTATCTTCTCTCTTCTTTCTTTTTTAGATTCAGAGTAATAACATAAATATATGCTTAGAAATAAGAATATCTAATAAATAAAATAATTAATCAAATTTAACTTGAATCACTTCTCTACACTTAAGTGCTATCAATTACCAAGTCTTTGCCATTTAAGTTGGCGTCCCCATAAAAATTTATTCAAATTAGTATCCGCTTATAGAGGCCTAAAAAAATAAAATAAATACATCTTAATAATTTAAATTAGTTAGAAATTTCGATAGTTTTATATCATATCATCTAACTATTTAGACATACATTCCTAAAATATGTTTTACTATCTTTAGCTAATAAAATATATCGTCAGAAGTATCTTTGCTAAAACAAAATTATGTTAAATACATCAACAAAATATAGAAAAATCACTAAAACGATTGTTGTAATAATATTGATAAGATTCTTGTATGTTTTTGTTAAGTTGTTTGTTACTATAATTTTAAAGTTTAGAAATATATATGAATATTGATATGATAAAGACGATTTTTATAATAATATTGAGAAGATTTTTATATGTTTTTGTTAATGTTTAGAAATATGTACCAATTTTGATATGATATATTAAAATTACCCCTCAAAACTATTTATTAAATTCATTGAACATCATAATATAATAATTCTAACTAACGCTGTGAACCCTAGTTCTAAAAAGGTTCAGGTCCAGACAAAGGTTCAGAGTTCGAAGTCCAGTAGAATATGGAAAGCCTTATAAAATTTAAGTCATACTCATAATAATAAGAAGCATATTTTTATTTATTATCAATTATAGAATAATAGAATACAATTTTAAAAAAATAATATTATTGTATTTTGGAAAATATTTTTTTAGCTATCATCAAAAATATTATCAGTGAACGTTTAAATAAACAACAGTTCTTGATACCTAAACCCTACAAATAAACCCCATTGTCCCTAGCAAAAACGCAAGTGATTATTTATGAAAAAAAATACTAAAAACGAAATGAAATTAAAGCAATTTAAATATTATTACTTTTTTTACAAAAATTATTTGGGCTGATAGAATATTTCCCATCCATATCATAGTAACAATTTTGATATGCATACTTTAAATAGTGACAAGGTAATTTGCAGAAGTCGTAAAACATTTAGCAATAATCTTTATTTGAGAGGATTCAATTTTGTCACATTTTGGAGGAAGATTAATATCTTGGTCAAAAGAAATCACTCTTTAACTGGGCAGAATTATAGCATATCGTAGTTGAGGTGGGCATCCATATAAATCTAGTTATAGAATATTTCGATATAATTCTATGGTGTACAATAGTATTAAGAACAGTATGCTATCGAATATTTATTATTCATTAAAAATAATATATAACTAAATCATTTAGATCAGAGCTAAATGTAAATGACTATGTTATCGTCGTCATCGTAATGAATATGTTTATCAAATTTTAAGGAATATATAATATTTATAATTTTAGCATGAATAATAAAAATTAAAATAATTTTTAATCCATTTTTTTAAAAAGTTTTATAGTAATGTTCGGGTTTAGTTAAAATACACATTGAATCACTTCCGGATTTTCACAACTTTTTAATAGAGGGAGTACATACTTATTAGAGATCCGGCCCGTCCTGACCCGCCACGAACACGGCCCTACATCTATTTAAAAAATATTTTCCTTTCGTGTTGAGACGGGGGTACTATTTATATAATTTTGCCGGGCCGGGACGAACTTAAATTTTCAAATATGAATACATTTTGTCAAATAAATTGATATATTTTAAAATTCTTGCAAGAAATAAGGGTCTAATATTTTTTTTATTTGCAAAATATTTTATTTACAATCAAAGAAAATTTTTTTTAAAAAATATTTAAATGAATTCAATAAATGGGGGGGGGGGGGGGGGCTTTTTGGGACAAATAGAAAAATATATTTACGGGCCGGGCTTGAAAAAATAGACCTGATGCAGATCACTAATGCTTATTAAGGACTTGTATCATTTGTAATTGTTAAATAAATTATTATTCTTCTTTTAAAATTTTCCACATTTTTTTTCATATGAATTTAAACCCAAAAATGCGCCTATCATAGATTCAAAGCAATGGGTATACCATATCTAGCTATTATTTGTTGGTGCCCAAGAATATGGAAATTTTTTTATAAAAGGCTTAAATATCTTAGTTATTGCACCAATATTTTATAATTTATTCTATCTAGATTTAAATAATTACTATTCTAATAATTTATCTTATTCAAAAACATAAGCGAATTCCACAGAAAATATCAGATGTTATTATATGACCATAAATTATTAAAAGTTGAATTAATAATTTATTATAAATTGTAATTTATAACGATTTATCTATTAAGATGGTTTTCAACTTCCACAAGAACTAGCAAATATATGTGTAGTATTTGGATATGGAATCCATCGAGATTCGGAATTTCTCAATTTTAAATCATTTCCTGAAGGAAGATTTAAATTTGTAAATTTTATTTGACAGGACATGTATTCCAACATGTATAGAACATCTTCTCTGTGAATTTCAGATGATTTTGTTTAGAAAACTCAATCAATATCTACATGATGAAAATCTCCCAGAATCTAATATAATGAAAACAACCAATGGAGCCTCCAGTAAATGTATTTCTGATTCTGGATATGATTTGGACTTATATTGTTTATTTTAATTGTATTATATATGTAATGTATTTAAATAAATTGATTTTTTATATTTGCTTAAAGATCTACAATTTATTACAATTTATAAAAATAGAAAAACATATATATTCTGACAATATTAAATATATAGTTTACAATAAATTATTTTGATACAATTCATTTGGCGACGATTTATTTTTCAAGTCATTTTGACGACGACGAATTATTTAAAAGAAAAAGATTAAAATTATACCTTGCCTCTGAAGAAGATTGAAGAACATATTCAATTTCATATTCCAGAATTTGTCAAAGAAAAAGTTAATATTCAGGATTACCTATATAATTTAGAACTCATTTTCAAAGAAAAAATATTTTCGATCAAAATAAAAAACAAATTGGCCTATAGGCACTGAAAATTTAATTAAATTAAAATTTTTTATTGTAACAACCTTTCTTTTTTATTT